GTATATAATGTTTTATTTACCCATCGAAACAATGGGCGGCCGTTAAGACCCATTGTCTGGCGATTGCAACACCACTGCATTGCCTTTGCTTTTCATCCCACCCCGAGTTGGTAATTAAAATGCTAACTGCCCATGGTGCTTCACCGTAGTTGGCTTGCCTACCATTGGCCACACGACTGGCCATTCGATCCGTTACGATGTGCGAGACATACATATCCATCACTTGTATAGCTTTATAGCTGTTGTGAATACATTTTGTGTTGTTATACGTTATGTCAATGGCTTCGGGTGTGTATCTCAGGCCACATGTCTTGGAGTTAATCCGGGTTACGGGATTTTACGGTTAGCATTTTAATTACCAACTCGGGGTGGGATGAAAAGCAAAGGCAATGCAGTGGTGTTGCAATCGCCAGACAATGGGTCTTAACGGCCGCCCATTGTTTCGATGGGTAAATAAAACATTATATACAGTATTATTAACCATTAAATTAAGGCATAAATTACAAACACATCTTATTTTGTATAGTTTTATCGTACGATCGCCAATCGGTATGGGTTTCTGTGAATTCATCGATTATACCAAAACCAAACATTGTGGCCAACTCTTGGCGTACATTCACTGCATTCATGTTTGGCAGACATATCGGGTTAATAGTGTAATGTCTGTTATCAATGATCTCGGTAAAAGGCTTCGGCAGTTTAACCAAAGCCATGTCGTGAATAGTTTTATTCGAGTAGTTGTATGCCTTGTACACAATCACCATGGCAATTTCCCGGAACTCCCGACCCGTTTTCTGTGTATTACCGGCCCTAACAACCAGTCGTCGAGTGGTATCGCTATATAAATGGTTTCAAAAATATAGGATTTTAAGCTTAATGTAAGGTTTGCTTACTTTTGGAAACAATGGGCGGCCGTTAGGACCCATAGTTTGGCGACCAAAACACCACTACAAGCGCTGTCGTCAAAGTAGTGCCAGTATTTAAACAGTAAGTAAACTGCCCATGGTGCTTCTGCATACTTGGCATTCATACCAAACGATATACGACTGGCCACCAGATCCTGTTCGAGGTGTAGATGTCGGCCGTAAACATTGTGCACCGGTTTTGTCGTATAGTTGTTTTGAAAACAGTTTGTATTGTACTGTATATAATGTCAATCACTTCTGGTGTGAATCTCAGCCCACAGTCTCTATCGTTAATCCCATAATCCCTGTAATCTGAATAGTTCTCAACCGTCACATATAAACCACTCGTTTGTACTAAAAATATAGTAATTATCGTTAATTTTTTATATAATTTTTTAATATCAATTTAAAACTCACGAAAAGTGATAAAAAAACATAACATTAATTTCAAAATCATAATCAAATTCAAGTGTTGTTAATATAACTCTAAATTAGATCTAAAAATAAAACCAATATATAATTCAAATATAAAATTTATATTATAATAGATTTAAATATAAATAACAATTTCTAAATTAGTTGATTACGAGATTATTCTAATGTAAATTCTAATGATGTAAACAAATAGTTATTTATTTCATAAATAAATATGTAAAAACTTTTAAATACAATTTCAATATAAATAGCGTTAATTATAAATAACTTCACATATAATTAAATTTAAGTATTATTTTTGATGGCCTTTAATATCCAGTCCATAACCAATGAGACAGACATTATAAAAGACCAGTTGCTGTCACATATGTCTAGTTTTGTAAGGGATTTACCGCTCGAATCGATACCAATAAGTATAGCTCGGGTCCGGTATTTATCGGTATACTGGACCAAACCCGCACCCGAATCACCCTGGGTAGAAACACATTTATTATATGAAATATAAGTTTACAAATTATTAAATCTAATGAATACGTACCGTACAAGGTATGGCTAGCTTTGATATGGCATAAAACGAGCACAAAATACCGTGGTAAGAGTTAACTTTACAGTTATAATACGGTTGTAACCACATGTCCCCCGTCTGGAGCCAATCGGTTTTGAGTTTAGTTTTTTCGTCGATTATACCAAAACCAAAAATAGTGGCCAACTCTTGGTATTGATTCCATTGATCCTTATTTGGCAGACATATCGGGTTTATAGCGGAACCGACACTTCATTAGATTGACTGCTATTACAGACACCGACTGCTGTATTGGCGCCACCAATGGGTGTACTCCGAAAATGGATGCCTACGAGTGCAGCTCAGGTCCGGTATATATTCACATATTGGACCACACCCGCACCCGAATCACCCTGGATAATTAACAAAAAAGTAATTTGTAATAACATAGTATTGTTTAGTAGTAATATTGTTTTGATTTTAAATCATACAAATTAAATACAATTAATACAGCACTACATGTAGATATTATTTAATTATTAATTTTTTTAAATTAATTTTTTATTAATTAATGGATTTTATTAATTAAACAAATACAATATGTGTTTTTGCAAATAACACATTGATATAGTCATTCACAGTTTGTAAGTCCAATAAGTTGATCACGAAATTAACTATGTCAAAACTGACAATGTCAAGTGTTACTATTTGTTCGTTATTGGTAATGTGTAAGTTAAAAACAATCATATAAATACTATTAGTACTAAATTAATGAAATCCTGTACAATATTTAATTAACTTTTAATGACAATTGTGTTGACAGGCCTAACATTGTTTGGTAACATAGTAAGTTTTTAAGACTAATGTCAATACAATATTATAAACATGCTCAATTTGAAATAATCTATAGAATGTCGCTGAAAGCCAAACACAACAGAACCTGAACCCGCAAATCGAGTCCGCCATTAATAATATCACGAGCAGTGAATTCATGGCCTATTACTTCTACGAACAGATGGTGAGACTAATTTAACACAAGTTGCCATTAAACCCAAACATATATACACTATTATAATTAATTTATTTAATAAATAACTAGAAAGCATAATGTACAATCTGTTTGCGTGATAATTGTAAGTAATGCGGATGTAATTGTAATTCAGGTTTGACCTAACAAAGTGGCCAGAATATTTTATAAATGCATGTTTTAGCTATTATTAAGCATATTGTTTTAATATGCACTCACTTTATATATCACATGTTATCCAAAATAAGTGCTTATTATTAAAACAATATGTTTGATAATAGCTAAAACATCAAATGTTCGGGCTACTACTGTAAGTCATTAGCACAAATTAAATGTTACAATTTGATTCTTATAGTCATAAACTATTATCACACAAGCATTCAATGCAATTATCTCGCAGTCAGACTATGCGTATGGATTTCATTTATATAACATACCACAATCTTTCAAATAGGCATGGTACTTTAACCGTGACAGCGTAGCGTTGCCAGGTTTTCACGCGTATTTTCAGAGTAGGGCCGACGATCTGATGAAACTTGCTAGAAAGTTCATGGAATACCAGAACAAACGTGGTGGTCGTATCATATTGGGCGACATTCCTGCGTATCCAAAACAGGACGGCTGGACACCACTGGAGGCAATGGACAAGTCTATATTCGTGGAACATGGTATCAAGCAACATTTACTAAAACAGAACGAATTGGCCGAAAGTCTAAAGGATTCCCAATTTAGCGGCTTTTTGTCCAACTTTTTGAATGAACAGGTTATCGATCTCAAGGAAATGACTGATCACGTGACACAATTGAAGCGAGTGGGCCCAGGAATCGGAGAGTATTTATACGATAAAGATTCTATAATGAAAGAATCATACTTTGACAAGATCAATCGAGACAATTATTAAAAACATTGTTATATTATTATATAAGTTATTTATAATAAAAATTCAATGTGAGAATTATGAATGTTGCATTTGTAATTTATTTAATTCAATAGTTTTATTTAATATGTTTGCTTTTTATAATGGATAATATTTTCTATTAATGTTTATCAAATGATAATTATGCAATTTAACTATAATATTAGTTAATTTTTTATTCTCTCCAATCAAAATTTATTGTAATGATTATTTACTTCTCATTTACTTTTATTTGTAATCAATTATACTTTTGACCCTCATTACCTGTACCCCATTAACAACTCCAGCCAATCATACAACAGTACTTTTCATGTACTGTTAAATATCTGACTCTCTATCCGCACTTAGGTTGGTAAATTACATGATTTTTTGAAGCCATGTAATTTACATTGTATAATACAAAAATTACACGAAATATACTTGTCATATTACTTACTATAAAGGAAAAATTAACGTATTTTAAGACTAAAAATTAAACATTTTTATTGCAATTATGACATTAATTATACATTTATAACATTTTTTTAATAATGTATTTTACAAAATGAAAAATCTGTGCATGTAAAATACATGAATAATACTATGTAAATTACATACGTAAAATACATGGTTTGTCATATTGCCAACCCTAATCCGTACACAAAGCACATTGTATTTCAGTCTTGTTTAACTCAGAGAGCAGTAATTGATTAATTGTCTCATTCATTCTCCCAATACTATTTTAATATAAATTATTAGTATAACGTGATAAATTTGGAAAAGTAATTGTAATTTTTTAAATTCATACAGTTAGCTGTGTTTATAATAAATTATACGGTTATTCTCATTCAAACAACTACTACAACATAATGTAACATCATATGAGAGCTTGGCGACCATTGGGCTCTTAGCGATACAATGTATTTCCTATGGACAATAAATAGTAGTTATAACTCAAAAAGTACTGGACCAATTTTTACAATTTATATATCAAATTTTACAGAATAAAATTTAATTTGAGATTTCCATCAGGATTATTCCTATAAATGAGGAAAATCAGACTATACTCATATTTAAGAGGTAAAGTTACAATAATTTAAAGTCTTACCATTTAAAAACTACAGATTTAATTTTAATTATCAGTATATTAAATTAGTCATAAGTGAAAACAGAAAAATATAAATTTTTAGTTTTTAAAAATTCCTATTGTAAACTATATTTTGAATATAATTTCTAATTTTATGTGCGAAAATAAGACTTAAAATTAAAATATTGAAATTTTAAAAAATTATATTATTATATTCTTAATTTGAACTAATTTGATGTGCTGATAATTAAAATTGAATAAGTATTTTTTAAATGGCAAGGTTTTAAATTATTGCAATTTTATCTTTTAAATATGATTATAGTTTGATTCTTCTCATTTATAGGAAAAATCCTGATAGAGATCTCGAATTAAATTTTATTCTGTAAAATTTGATGTATAAATTGTAAAAATTGGTCCAGTACTTTTTGAGTTATAACTACTATTTATTGTCCATAGGAAATACATTGTATCGCTAAGAGCCCAATGGTCGCCAAAGTTTCATATATAATTTATTGTATAAATTGTAAACAAATTTGGATCATATATCGGGTGTTTATCTATGGGGGACAAAAGTAATTCGCCTCCCATTTCAAAACCCCTCGGTCGATTTTAATGAAATAAAGTTTACTTTATAAAGCAAATGTGGGAAAATTATTTTGTAAAGTTAT